CCTGGCCACTGTTACATTGGGCTTGATGCTCCTTGAAAGTTGAAGAACAAAGAATGCGCCATTGGTTTTCTACACGGAGAAAAAATTTGCAGCATTATTCTTTAATTTTTTGTGTGCATCTGTAGGCTGAGGACGATGAAGGCGACATATCAAAGATCAATTTCTTGACTCTGTTTGAGCGACCTGTGACAACCGCTGTCTCCAAGTGAGTGAATCCTCAATACTCCATCAAGTGTTTGCTTCATTTACTGTTCTTTGTTGTGTTTTGTTCGTATTGTTTTGAAGTGGAGAAAAAATTAATCACATTGTTGTTATCTACAAGTCTCAATTTTATAACAAACACTTTCCAGTGGCGTTAAGACTGGCCGAACAGTTGCACTGTTGTCATGGCATTTGTTGCTATCAGACAGAACTGAAAGATGTCTGAAACTTCAATATCTTAATCCTGAAACAGCCCTTTTTTTCAGAATCCACTGCACCCCCAACTATCTCAGCTGTCCCCTTGCCCAATTATCAAACTTGACATTGACTATAAACACATCTGTGTAGTGTCAATTCGATCTGACAGAGGGTTTTGTTGCTATGGTAATCTCTTAGGGTCAAGCAACACCTCACAGTTCTTTGTTCCCCATCTTTCTAATGTACACATGCACATGTATGTTCCACTGATCTCTGTGTACTGGATAGGCAGGTGTGCTCTGCAAATTGAAGCGACTGTGAGGCCATCTTAGGCTATTCAATACATTGGCAGCTTCCAACTCACTGGCTTTGGTGCCTTGCATGAATGCACTTAATGAATGGACTGAAGTTGGGGGACATTGTATTGAATGTCCTAAGATGGCTGCGCGGTAACTTCAGTTCACACATACGCGGTTACTGCTGAGCTGCCTATCCAGTGGTTTGTTCTGCTTCTTTTATTTTTGTTAGGGATATTTTCCGTTCAGACTTTTTTGGCTGTTCACTTCTGTTTTACACCTAAATCTAGTCGGTATTTTAGTTTTCTGTAACAGAAGTCATGGTCCCTGAACCAATGAAATACGATAATGCATTTTTTTCCCTGATTTAAACTTTGACTCTGAACGCAGGTGGAATTATGATACAGTTGAACTTTGTGAACAGTAAGTTTGTTGATCTTCACTAACAAGAAAGCATCATGTGCATACTGGATTTCTTTTGTTCGGACGCGTGCATGTCAGACATTATCTTTTGTAGTAATGATTTTTGAAATATATGGAGGGCCCATTGTAACAACTTTGAACTTTCTTTTTATTCATTTTGATGCTTTTGGTTTTGCGTTATTTTTTAGTTGGATGAGGATGATTCACTTTGATTTTCTGGACTACACTGCATGTGTAGAGTATGCTTACACACAAACAGACCTAACTAGAATTTTGGGGACAACCCAAGATGGAGAAAATGAAGAACATTGCACTTTTCTCTGTTTCTTTTTGGTTTGATTAGGAAAGGCCTTGATGTGTTACTGAGTGCTTTCACTCTTGAAGGGGACAAGTTGATGGCTGCCGTCAAGGTTAGAAATTACTTTGATTTTTTTCCTTGAAGTCAGTGAGAATCGAGATGCCCCTAAAATCTCCTCCCAAAATGACAGCTATCCAACTATGACAGCTACCCCCAAAACGACAACTACCCTAAAAATAACACCTACCCTGAGAATGACAACTGCCACGAAAATGACAGCTACTCTTAAAATGACAGCTACCCCGAAAATGACAGCTACCCCGAAAATGACAGCTACCTCAAAAACCACAACTACTTGGAAAATGACAGCTACCCCCAAAACGACAACTACCCTAAAAATAACATCTACCATGAGTATGACAACTGCCCTGGAAATTACAGCTATCCCCAAAACCACAACTACTTGGAAAATGACAGGTAACCAAAAAATGACAACTACCCAGAAAATGACAGCTACACCAAAAATGACAGCTACCTAGAAAATGACAGCTACCCTGTAAATGACAGCTATCCCAAAAACGACTCCAAAAGCTGTAGCCACCCAGACTACGAGGGTAATTAATTTTTTTTGGTACGTTTCAATTTGTGCACTTAGTCTGGTGCTCAACCAAAAGTCAAACCTCTCATCCAGACGGTGAAAGCCATCTGCTTCACACTGGCCACCGTGGAGCCCAACGAGATCTCGACGGCCATCCACGAGTTGCAGAAGTCATCCGACCCTGAAGCGGCCTACGAGAAGCTGACTGCCGCCGTGCTGCACCTAGTGGACATGTACTGCACGGCGTTTGACACCGACTTCCGGACGGGGACCGACAACACGGACGAGGCAGTGCAGGACATCACCGTCAAGGGTCACAACCTGAGGGTCTGCATCGCCTCGGCCCATCGCCTGCAGAGCAACGTCAAAAATGCGTGAGTAACAGACTCGCTGAAACTTTTGTGTTGCTGGTCATTGCTGTTCCCAAAGCAAGTCACCCTCACTGTACAACACAAAAAAAGCCAACTCAAATCAACCACAATCACTAGAGAGTGGAAATGTCCAAAATTACCTCTGATCACAGCATAAATGGATGAACAATTGATGGAAAATTATTTTATCTCCAACATCCCGTGCAATTTTTTGTGTCGGATTTAAAGAAAGCCCACATTCATAATTTGCGGAGCTTTTCCAAAGCAAATATTAACAGATGTCGTCTTGATTCAAACAAAGAGCTCTCTGGGAACACAGGTCCAATTTTATTGAACAAAAAATCTCTAAAAAACTCTGACCAGGCTGATAAACATGAAACAAAACTCTGTAGCATTTTGACTTGTTTACTTATTACTGTCACTTTCTCTGAGTTTCTTAGAGGAAAATGCAGTAATAGTTGGCGCAGTTGTTATCATTTTGGCTAGTTAATAGGCATTCCATTTTGCCTTGTGTTATAACGCAAATGCGAGCTTGTATGCGCTACAGGTAATTTTGCTGTGACTTTTTTGATCGCATTTTGTCGGTACCTGATATGCATTGCATTCATAGTGCATGTACATAATTCCATGTGCATTCTGTCCAGTTTCAAATACTCTACAAGCACGCACGTGGATTCAAAATGGCTGTGCCCAGGATGGCGTCAAATTTTCTCCGTGCGGAGAGAAGTTAGCGCTCTAGTAACTTAATATAGCTCATTCATCTTTCTTTTCCTTGCAGTCATGAGTTTTACACAGTCTCAGCTCAGCTCTACTACGGCGGCAATGCCCTACATTTCCCCATCGACACTTGGCCTGCCCGCATCAATAGCTCCTTCTTTGACAAGCTGGCTTGGAATCAGGAGTAAGAACGATTCACATTCCTTGAATTTTCTTTGAAACTTTGCTGGAAAATATTGCAGTGCTCTATCAACTTCAAACTATCTAGTCCCATTCCGGGGCCAAGCTTTAACTGGACTGCATCTTTATAATAGACCTAAAGCATGGTGACCTCATGCTTTGTTTGCATGTTTGCTTTGCCTTTAATACTACCCAAGGAAAGTGTACTTTTAATCAAAGCATGATGTTGCATTAGGTCTGTGGGCCATATTTTCACCTATTACATCGTTGAGTGCCTGGAAGGAGTCTGTAAGTGCTTACGACCTTTTGCCGGGAAGCATAATCGCTGCAAAAAAATTTCCCGGCAAAAGGACACATGTATGCAACTGTTTTATTTTAATGAAATATAAAGATTCCTTCGCAAATAGTTACAAAACATTTCCCAAGTTGTTTGAGAAGTTATACAGAGGTTGCTTTTTGCACAGCCTGTGTTGATTTTGTTGTAAATTTTATCTGTTTTTACTAAATACAGAGAGAGTGTTTCTTTCGCCATTTTTACCAGGAATATTTTTTCTATTGTGATCATGCTTCCAGGCAAAAGGGCATAAGCGCGCTTACGACCTTTTGCCGGGAACACAACGAAATCCTCACAAGCACAGATTTTGGCTTGGGCACCATTTGAAACGTAACTCTCTGCCACAGTTGTTGAATCATGATGAGGTCTTAAGCTGTTCACTCGGGAGAGACAGTAAACAGTGAGGACTCATGTTGGCTTAGTAATGGAAGTAACTACCAGACCTCATCCATATTCATGATGAATAGCCAGATTCTCAGTGGTCCATTCTTCATTGTAAGCCAGTCTGTCTTGTGGCTGTTTACCGGTGGACTTTAAATAATGCAGGTTTATGCAAATGTATTAAAAAATGATAAGGATATTCAGGGTATGCCAATACTGCCACGCCTCTTGCGTTGTCGAATGCACCCCACATGTGCATGACAGGTTCAGGGGAACTTTCACTTGGGTGGAGTATGCACGCATGTGTTGCCATGGCTACCCGTGGAAAAATGGCGTCACATGTACATGTTGATGAGCTTTTTAATATGATGCCTGAAATATGGCCGTTTCACAATAGGGCGCCACCAAGAGTTTGCAACGCGTTGGCCAATCACAACGCTTGAAATTTGTCGACCCTTTCTAAACGCGCATTGGGTCGACAACTTTCGCGCATTGTGATTGGCCAACGCGTTGCAAACTCTTTGTGGTGCACTGTTGTGAAACGGCCGTATTGTAATGGAAAATGAATCAGATGTAGTAAAAACAAATATAACACGGTTTATTACAGGGGGATTGTTAGCTTTCGAAGTCAACAAAGCACATATACCTATAGTTTCATCACTTTTGCCTCTTGAGCTACATTGTAGTTTGTCAACTTCTCGTATCTTGAGAAGCTAACATTGTCTATGCACCCCTGTGCAATCCATGTTATCTTCAAACTTAAAATTGCAATTGTTTATTTTCTGTATCATTTCCGATCATCTCCTAGGCTAGAGCTTCCAATTCCAGTCAGTCAACTCCCCAGGGAAGCCCGACTAATCTTGACCCTGTCAGGCCAGGACAACTCAAGTGCAGATTCGGACAAAACTGTCCTGGGCTGGGTGGCGATATCCATGTTCAACTTCCGGGGGTGAGTACATACATCTATAACTGCAATTTGAGATAACGCCTTTGAAGCAATGTAAATTCCATAGTCTCGATTGTCCATTACGGCACTTGCTTTCTGTAACCAAAATTGCCCATGAGATCAGACTGAAGTAAGCCTACTGTTAGAGAGCTTTTCACGGTTCGGGTGTGTCTAACCCAACCTGACGGAAAGAGTCCACAGTCGCTGGAGAAACTTCTGAGTTAAAGACGTTAGGCCAAGACTAGATGCTGTGCTACTACCGTGCTGAACTTGATTAAAATAAGTACGACAAAACCTTGGCAATAGCACCGCAGTTGCACTAAACACCGAACTGAAATAGAGCAGTGTCATGCCACTACCTTTAGGAACGACGTTATAGTGCGGCACCCTGTGGAGCTAAAGAGCTAGCAGTGCCAAATTCAATTTGCTGAGCAGAATTGTGCTAAATGCTGTGCTATAGCTGTGCCGAACATAAAATTTGATGCTTTGAGTTTGGCATGGGAGTAGCACGGCGTATAGCCTAGGCCTTAGACAACTCTTGCTTAAATGGATATTAGTAGGAACCCTTAACAATTTGCACCCACATAACGTCCATTTTTCACCCACGTAACGTACATTTTGCACCCACATAAAGTCCATTTTGCACCCACATAAAGTCCATTTTGCACACTGCAAACAATAAAGATATGTGGGGTGTGCTAATCTTGCCAAACTGTAAGACTCATTTCATGGGATCTGGTCATGTATTCTGTACGTTTAGTCAGCAATATATCATCTTCTGATACACCCCGCTAACTTATGGGTGATGAATAACATATCTTTTAGACCCCTGAGGCCAGTGGTTTTTTTTTCCATTGAGTTAATTACGAAATCGTCATGAAATTTTCCTGCTTGGTAAGGCAGAACAAAATTTAAATTAAAAAAAGATTAAGTAACCTTTCCAGGGTTAGCGTATGAAACAAATTGTAGTTTGCAGCAGTTTTGTATTTGGAAATTCTATTTTTAGCAGGAGGTAAACCAGTGATAGTGATATATTCGTGGCATGTTCGGCATGCCTTCAATTTTGTGCAATCAAAAGTACTGTGTCAGGGAAATCTAGCAAATTTTCCCCATTTAAAAATGTTGGTGTTAAATTTGTTTCATTGCAGAGAGCTTCAGACAGGCAGTCACCTGTTGGGGCTTTGGGCTGATTCTTCCGTCAATCCGATTGGAACCTGCTCCTCCAATCTTCTCACCAAGACCAGCATCATCCTTCAGGTAAGAAGAGATTTCGTTTGCTCTTGTCTGGCCCCCAGCTATGTCTGAAGTCAAAGCTTTCTTGGTTTTGAGCAGACCTTAATATGCCCAGTGGCTTTCTTAAACTAACCTGTTTTTTGGTGAAGTTCATGTATGTTAGGTAGGCCTATTTGGGACTGTATGTAAATTCTGGTTCAACTACCTGGTGGGAAAGGAATGAGTCGAGTTTCATTGCTATGTTTTTACTGAATTAAAATTCCAAATTTCTCTTAACTATGGCTTCCATGCAGGTCACTTTGTAATGTCTGAAGCGTGATTCTTTCGGGGTTGAAATCAGCTTTGAGGAAATAGGGAGTTTATGGCAGGGATTGGCACAGATTGCCCTAGGGGCCCCTAGGGCATGCCCTTTGAAAATATCTTGGTCAATACTGCTTTGTCTCATTCTATAAAAATGTAACTCCAGAATAAATGTGGAACTTGTATACGATTTATTATCAGTCAGTGGTGGCCCATCCAGTTATATGTGTGTGTGGAAGTGCTAGTGACTTGTTCCCTCAAAATTTCTGCTGTTTTGAGTTAAATAGCACGCCCTTGAAGTGGAATGCAGGCATTCGTCGCTTCCTCTAGGCAGCCAATTGTTTTTTACTTTATGCGCTGCGTGTGTATGTCATGACACAATGTAGAAAGCCTTGTCATTTTTAAAATTTTTTTGTTCTTTTGTGTAATTATTTTTAGTTGCATACATGTAATTGGGAACGGGGCAATCTTCAGATTTTCAGTTGACTTTTAGATATCAAGGTACATACACGTATATTTTTCAGGTTGCAACTTTGAAAAGAACAACAACTTTTCAAGATAGTCCCTGATGCTCCCCCCCAATTAAGATTCAACGTCTTTTCAACCCAGATAAACTTTGAGGATATGAAACAGCTCTGCATGTTTCCAGAGATCCGGGCTCTCGAAGATAAAGTGTACGACTTTGACATGCTGGAGCCTCACAACCAGCACCGAATCAGGGAAATCTTGGACAAAGACGCCCTGTCATCGTAAGTTTCACGTTTCTGTCGTTGAATACTTTGTGTTAGCAGTCTACCCATTGTTTGAGTCATATCCGTCACAAGTCCCTACAAGTCCTTCCTAAGTCATCCAAACTTTATCCCAGTCACAAGCTATTTAATTGAACTGTGACAACAGCATTCCTGTGACATTGTTAAAGACCTTGGGTAGGCACTGACCACGTTAAGGGGACAGTTTCTTTAGTTAGGCAAATTTGGACAGAGATCTGGGGACATTTCTGTGGCCCCATAACATTTTTGGTCCCCGCAAAATAGGTGATGTATCAAGTGTATGTCCCCACAGCTGTGGAACAAGAATCAGTTTGCTAGACTGGGCTACAACATTGTGTCATAAGTGTATTTGGTTCCTCTGTAATACCTGAGTCATTAACCCCTTGACGCCGGGACTTTTTTCTGAAAGCTGACTCCGAAAATTCCAGCCTCGCTTGGCCACAAGGGCCACCTGCCAAACCGCAAATTCTCGGTTTGAGGCCCTGCGTGCTCTGCACGCTTTGATTTACACGGTGAAAAGGCTGATTGTTTGGTGGCATGCGGCTCTGCTCACGCTTCCACATTCCCGTTGCCTCTTTCAAAG